TCAAATATAAAGAATTATCGGTTATCGTATCGGCCAATATTGTCATATCGGTGCATCCCTAGTGACAACTGTAAAACATCAAGTAACTGACAACAAATGAACAGTGACAACAAAACAACAACGGCATAAATAAAGCAAAACAACAATCCTATTATAGTAACAGCATCATTTATTCATGCTGCAATGCATGTTTGGGGATCACAAACCCATAGCAAATCAGCAACATTCTATAATATGATATCGCTTGTTTAGAGAACTCTTTTAGAAATCGGATAGTCTGTATATTTTGAAAATAGGCCTATTTCAAGTTTATGCTGAATGAAATGTGCCAGTTGAGATGAGAGTGGAATTGTTCTGTCTAGAAACACAGCTCCTTCAGACCGTGTTTATCTGTGAGCTAGTCTAAACTCTCACATGTTAAATACTGGCACCTTTGGTGAAAGAGAAAAAGGATAAATTGAGCGAGGGAGAGAGAAAGAGATGGAGAAAGGGAAGCTGAAATTGAAAGAGATCTTGACCCCCTGTTACTGTCAAACTACAGGACATCAACTTTGATTTGAACATCCTTTGAACTTCTATTTCAAAGCGTTTTAGCATCCAAGGACAGCAGCAAACCATGACCCTTCTGAAAGCATCCATTTTTGGAAGCAGATGAAACACCAATTATATGCTTAATTTACATATTACACAGTCGGCCCAATGAAAACATTTCTGTTACCGAGATGAATGGAGCGCCGTCAGGTCAATCTCCCATCAACCATATAGAACACCATTGGAACCACTTAGTAGCCCCCTAGCAACTACCATTTTGCAAGATGTAAACAACACTGGTCCAGAAGCACTTCCTGTTTCAGTTTTTTAACACTACATAAAAGCTGGGATAAAATACAACCAACAGAAAATATAAAACTGAATCAAAAAGTTAAACAAACATCTTTAAGATGTTTTCTTTACATGTGAAATAAAGAAATCAGTTACAAACTGAAACAGGAAGTGTTTCTGGACCGGTGTTGTTTACATCTTGCAAAATGGGCATAAACACACACACAACAATACCTTAGCAAATGCAGATTGCTGAACATGCATTTTGACGTTGCAACATATTTTTCTTTTCTCCAAATATGTAATGCATCTTTTGCTTTTGCAGTGATTGTAGGGAAGGTGAAAGAGCCTATTTTGGCTCTGTAAAAAGGAGAAAAAAATATCAACATAACCGCTTCCTAAATATAGCCTACCAAAATAATCCACAACCACATATGCCCAGGAAGACAACATTAACAGAAAGAAAGTGATAATGTTAGGAAGTCTGTTTCTCCCTCAACGTTTTTTTAAGTGACTTAATAGGCTATGCAGTGTTAGCCTACTTGATAATTATTTATATAGCCTATTATGATAATACTTACAACAACAGCCTTCAGAATAGATAGGCTAATGCTTTACACTGACTGTACTGTGTTAAAGAGCAACTAATGGCAATTTATCTGTTCAATAAAACACCTTACTCACCTGTTGCTTGAGTGATGATAAAAACACCGGACATCTCTGCGTCACTTCTCACCATCTCTGAGACCGCATGACCTCCGAAAAGCCAAGCCAATGTTGATTCTTGTTTTACTACGAGCTCTGTTTAGTTGCATTTTTCTTCTTTTTTCTTTCGTTTTCGTTTTTTAAAACAGATGCCCGGAGGTTCGAGATTTGCGCAACTTTCCTACATGATGAGACATGCATGAGCGAATGACGTAATGACGCATGTGTCGCACGAAAACCCGTCAGGAAAAAAAAAACATCCTCCTGTCAGGTCTAACGTAAAAAAATGCCTACTTATAACAGGCTTATAGTTAATCAGGGTCAAAATAAACAAATAAATAAAATAAACATGGAAGAATGATGGATGATGTATTGATTTATTACTTAAATAAGTTACATAACAGTAGCCCTACACAATGTGAAGCTGTGTACCTGACTTTTATTTTAGTTAGTTGCTATGACAACATTTGAATTTTTTTTCATCTAATATTTAAATTTTATTTTATTTCAGAATTATTTCAATTGATAAAAGCAGATCACAGTTTTAGTTTACAAAATCAAAATAGTTAACAATAACAACATTTATAAATATTTTAAAATGTGACTTTATTTCTCCCTTTAAACTTTATCTTACAACTTAATTGTTTTATTTTTACCATGAGAAAAAAAAATGGCTTCAACAAACAATGTGCAGAAAATACAACAGTATATTTTTGTTAGGCTTTTGGTATTTGGTGTCTCTCCAAATAAGCATACGAAAATAATTACTCAAATCAACATTTAATTTAGTTCTTTGATCTGACATTAAACACTATTTGTATAGGATTCTCAGAACACTCTGCTGTTAGCTTATATGCTAAGCTAATATTTTCAATATTATTTCGAATATTTGTCATTATAAATACCCTTTGACAGTGAGTCAGAAAGCAGACATCCCATCCCTCTCCACACAGGGACTCATTCAAGCTAGCACACATCACTCGTTGACATTTTCTGATGCGTTGCTTGTCGAGAGCCTCACCTATGGTAGGACAATGTAAACAGAGTTCAGTCCTTGAATTTGAGAGAGGCTTTATTGTTGAGTTATTGCATCAGTGACACACAGAAAGAGCGCTGAACAGTCTATAGCTGGGCTCTGTGCCACACGTGACTGTTCCACTCCGAATGGGGAACATGTATGAGCTAATGTGTAATTAGATGTTACTATTTTCACTGAACTCTGCCCTAAATCAGCGCAGGGCTGCTGTTTGAACTCCCTGTGCCAGGAAACTTAGCGGCCATCAGTACAGCTTTGGGTTATTGCAGTTAACTTTAAATAACTCTGTGTTCAGCATTGCTGTGGAAAACGATACGGCTGGAGAAACTTACTCAGAAACATTATGAATGTCTTTACTGTCACGTTTGATCTATTTACTTGCTGACTAAAAGTATTAATTTCTTTAAAAAAAAAATAAAAAAATTACAGACCCCAAACTTTTGAATGGTAGTGTATACATAACCCTTCCACAAATTTCATCTTTTAGGTCTCAAGACAAAGTTTGTAAAGCCTGTTTCAGGGATTCTCTGGGGGACTTGTGAGAAGCCTTTATATGCCTTCTTTTCTCCAAAAACTCCCATACACCCGTACAGAGTCCAGAGAAAACCTCTGGCACAACATCAAAGTTGAGCACGTGTCTGCTTCACTTCCTCCCCTTCATCTCTGGGGGAGATCAGCACATGTGAGGGTAGTAATGAGATACAGCCCCCTTTCACTTAATGTTAAAACAAAGCAATAAAAAAAAAAGAAACTGTGCAGACTTGGCACTCGTCATGACTGCTTTCAAATGGAGTGAATGAAACAAAAGCTGTGACATTGTGAGCCATTTCAGCCAAACTGTATTTGTAAAGACCTTTAAGGGTTTCCACACCTTTTCACCAATGCATTTCCAGCGGTTTGTGATGGCTGAATTTATTTTTTTCTGAATCATTTCATAGAGATTGCACTCCAAAGAAGCAGCTGATGCAATATTTCAGAGCTAAGTGCAACAATACAACGTATATTCACAATAGAAGTTCCACTTTACAACTTTTCCAGACCCAACTTTCTGTTATTCCCAATCCCAAATGTGGGAACTTTGGCTGTGCATCATTTCATTGGATCTTACTGTGTATGTTCACACTGTCAGTCAAAATCAGATTATTTGTGGATCCAATTGGAATCTGATCTCAATTATTGTTTGGACAACACTGTGTATCGAACCTGCTCAAATGGCGCTCTTTTGTTTCTGCATTGGTATATCTGCATTGGTTTCTGTCAAAGACATATAAGTATTATAGTTGGTAGGTATATGTCCAAAACAACAACAGCAACATGGAGGGGTTATTGACAATGTAGACAGCCTGATGGACTACAATGTCTTCGAGACAGCAGCTGGTGTGCGTGACTTTATTCCATGCTGTTGTCTCCGCTGGTCTCAAAATTCAACATGTCTCCATTACATTGTAATTTTTTTGAACAACCATTTTGAAACAACACAACCTTGTTTCTATGGCGACTCTTAGCATGTTTTCTATAACAACGTTTGACATGTTTACGTTTTACTTGGCGCGAGAAAGTCACATAAACCACGCGAAATTCAATCCGATCAGTCGGACTGAAAAGTATTTCCAGAAATGCGATTTGAATAGGATTTAAAACCACACAAGAATGTAGCTCAAAATGGATTCGTAAATTAAACAAAATTAATAATATATATTTTTTATAAATCGCAATTTCATGTGCTTTTTTGCCGTTCACACTTTCTAAATCTGATCGTATTTCAATCAGATATGCACATAGGCTAAATTGGATTCGGACTGACAGTCTGAACAAGGCTAATGGAAAGTTTCTAAAGTTATTTAGCCTAGTTCAGAATGTCAGTCCAAATACGATTTTTGTGCACATCCGACTGAAATCCGATCAGATTTGGCAAGCAAAAAATAAATAAATCACATAAAATGCGATTTTTACAAATTCGTTTCGAGCTACATTCATATTTGAAATCGGACTTCACGTGGTTCATGTGACTTTCTCAAGCTGGAAACATGCTAAAAGTCGCTAAAGAAACAAACCCAGACAGAAACAGTGTCGGCCCAGATCTGGCTCACATCTAGTTAGAGTGGTCAGACTAAAAGAGAATTCCAGAAATCTGAATGTAGCTCAAAATGGATTTGTAAACGTATTATTTGCCGTTCACACAAAAATTGGATTTGGACTGACAGTCTGAACAAGGCTTATCGAAGTTAGTTGGTTAGTTAGCTACTAAATTGAAGAACATGCTGTTCTTTTTTGGTCAACTTTGTGTTGCTGGTCTTGTGTACGGCTCCTGAGGGATTGATAAACATTTGCCACTGCGGGCCATGTAAACTTTGAGATGCCGACTGTCACGTGAGACAAACCGAGAGCTCAGAGGGGTTTTCCAGCTATATTTAAGAGACAAAACCTGATCAGAGCAGACCTTGTAGACATTGTTTTATTTCAAGTGATATTTGACAAGCAATCATCAAATCAACATATAAAAACATCTGCACCATTTCTTGTCAAGCTTATGTCATGGCGCTTTAAAATAAATACTTCTTCAAGAGGAAATAATACAGACATAGTATGCAAAATCCAAACCAGACAAAACAAAATGACTGAGAAAAATGCCACAAAGGTGAAACATAAAAAGGGTCCATAAAACGTCAACGTACAGCCCCCGAAACTCATCGTCAAAAAGAGTTGTAGAAAACATCTGAAGTACTTTGTAAAATACGGAATCTTAGCAAAAAATGTCTTTCATTTTCGTTTTTTTTTTTTTTCTCCCAGGTTTTCTCAAAATCGTTGCAAAATATTAGCTGGTATCGTAGCGAGATTAAATGTGAAGAAGAATGTGCTTTTTTTAATTAGTATTCACATATAATATATAATAAGTATCGACAAAGTCCTCCACTGGTCTGTATGGAGCAATGGCAGCCATATTGCACAAGGCTCATCTTCCTCAGGCACATGGAAGAACTCTCCTCTCGTTCACATGCTGCTTTAACAGGCACGGGTAACCATGGCTACCAGCGCCACTCGAATATGACGCCCTCGCACTCGACGCGCTTTTGGGCGGCCGTTGCAAGTGCCCGGACCTTTCTATTCATCATCTGCCAGCGTCCGACAGAGTAAGACGGGTCAACCGAGTATGTGAGTCCAGAGTTCACATTCGAAATCCCCCTTTGTTTATGACACAAACGCAACAGGTTGCTCACATTTATTTTTTTCACATATTAAAAAAAATTTGGTTCCTTTTGCTCATCTGTCAAGCCCTCATCACACGCTGATTAAGAATACAGGTATACAGTACAAAAAACTGGTCCACGTCATAGATCATGTGACCTGTGAATGCAACCCTCACAAACTGAATGTAAACAATCCCTCGCATGGCTTTCGATCCGAACCGGAGTGCACGAGCTTGAAAAAATGTGTCGTTTTTCCACTGTACAATAACGAAAAAGCTTGCCACCATGCTTTAGCACCTCTGTATTTGTCCCAAATGTTATATAGCATTGAAAAAACATAACGTATCATCAAATACTACTATGCACCGTTGTGTCGAAGAAGTCTCGAACCGCTAGAGCGAGTTAAGCTACATTTAGTTCACAGCTGTTGTTAGTTTACTTAAAACGAGTTAAATAGGAAATCAACGCTTTTTTTGAGTTTCTCGTCGAGGACCGGTGCTGGGCAAAAGTGTGTACACAAAAGGGTAAAACGAGGGTTAGTGTGTGTGTGTGTGTACGCCGAATGCCTGCCACCTTGTCGCAGAGCTCGGTCGCCTTGCCTCCTCCGAAGAACATTCTCAAAGTGCAAAGGTTACGAATAGCCTTTCACAGTCCGCTTCAATCGTTCACTTGACATTTGCGAGAGAAATGACATAACAATAACATTTAAATTAAAATAAATGTTCTAGGCACTACTGAATGTCCAAAGGCGTTGCTGTAAATTGAGGAAGAGAGTGTTAGAAAGCAAATCCAAAACGTTTTAAAGTGATGATTTTGCGAAACACTTCCACACGTAGATACCTCATAACCAGCCCAAATAACCAGATAGACGAGCTCCGAGTCTTTCGGTAGAGTTTCTGCGAGGAAGAAGGGTCCATAAAGATGTACGTCAAGACAAAACGTCCTCAGGCCATGATTTTTTGTGGGATCTCTATGGAAGCTTTGAGGAAGATGGAGTTGTCACGGATGTAGTTCCTCTTCTTGATCTCCTCGTGCGAGATGAACTTGGGGTAGCCGAAACCCAGCGTGCTCTCGTCCAGCGAGTTCCGGCTGCTGCACGGCTTCTGGAAGTTCTTCCAGTTGGGATCAGGGTTGAAGGTCTCCGTGATATGCTGAGGTTTGGACAGCGACGGGTCGCTCTGGTCCAAAATGGAGAAGGTCACCTTGTAGGAGAAGGGCCATTCCAGCAGGTTGTCGTACTCGCCGGGAAGCACGCGGATGTAGATGGACAGATGCGAGCCCTCTCCGCTGCCGTTGCCGTTGAGGAACGCGGACACCTGCAGCTTGTAGCCGTAGCGGTGCGTGTAGAAGGGCGGACTGAAGAACTCGTGGTTGTTGCGGAGTTTGGCCTCCTGCAGTTTGCGCGAGTAGTCGGTCAGTTTCCAGATGAGGACGCCGTCGTGACTCACCGACAGCTCCTCCATCTCACGTCTCAGCTCCATGATTTCCTGCCGCTGCCGCCCCACCAGATTACACATCATGGTGAGGTGGGATTTCGTGCTCTCCTCCAGGTGTCGTCCGATTGCCATCTTTGGGCACTATGAACCAGAGCGCAGAACATTTGCATAAGTATAATATGAATTTGAGTGCTCACTAAAATGTGCTCATCTACACAATGCTATTAACATAACTATAGACCTTGATTATCATTGTAGACAGTCATCTTATTTAATTTGACACAAATCAATGCATCAATGCATCAGTCTATTAATTCAAAAATATAAATGTAAATACTGTTTTCAAACTGACAAATTTATAAATGTTTATATAATTAACGTTAAAAAAAACAATAGGTAAATATTTTAAATAAACAGTTTAAAATATCTACTTATTTGTCAATTTGAAATGTGATTAATTATTTTAATGTTTACCGTTACTGAAACATTAACTATATAAACAGTTACAATATATCTATATTTATTTGTCCATTTCAAAAAGTAATTATTTTACTGCTACATTTACCTACAACTTTCAAGCTATTAATGAATAAAAATTAACAAATCACTTTTCAAGAACAGACTATTTAAAATGATTTATTTCATTACTGTTAATTTCTCAATAAAACATTAATTACGAATTTTAAATGCAACATTTAAGAATATAAAGTATTTACAAATTACTTTTTTTGATTATTGGTCAATTTGAAAAGGGATTTATTAATAAATTAGTGTACGGTTACTTTTAAACTAATTCAAGTACTTAAACTACATAAACGAATTGCAAAACGACTATATATTTGTCAATTTGAAACGTGATTATTTCATTATTTTACTGTTACATTTGCTTATATTTTTCAATGCATCAATAAAAAATAAACTTGTAAATAAATTATTATTTTACTGTTAAGTTTAATGCTTTTAAATAAGTTTTACATTTATTTTTTCATTTGAAAAGTGCTTTATTAATATTCATTAATTTTTTTCAATTCGTTTTTTAACTAGCACTGCTAGTCCTCCATACTCTCGGGTCTATGTACTGGAAGTAAAAACAGGAGACCCGAAACATGTTGCAGTAAAGTTGTTGACAGTGATGCCTGCAAAGCGCATTAAAAACTTATTTCCCCGAACTCCCTTGATCTCAAAAACTAGCAAATATGATATCTCACAGCAGACAGCCCATCCTTAAAAGCAGTCTTCTACGATAAGCTTCAAAGAAATGTTTTACTGACTCAGACACAAAGTTTTACAGGTGTGGAGGAAGGAAACTGCATATGAAGTTACAGCGGAGGACTCACTCTATGTTTGCAGCCGGCCTCCTTGAAGGGGCAAAGGATCAGCGCGCTGCCACAGCTCTCCTTCACGTGATTCGCCAGATCCTCGCGTGCAATGTTCGGGGTGCCGCATTGATTGGGACACTGCACAGGAAAGCGAGGGCAGTGGTACTGGTGGTTCTGGGGGATGAAAGGCAACAGTCAGCATTGACGTGAATCAGTAGGTTGTGCTGTGATATCTTGAGCAATAACAGCTTGAGCTCTGAGATGCGAGAACTAAAATATGCATGGATTCATGAAATCATCATGAGATCATCTAAAAAAGTCGTTGCGCTCGTGCTCTTGTAGCGTGACACTAGAAACGCCAAAGTCATGGGTTCAGTTCACATACTGATAAATGTTCAGGCTTTGGATTGAAGTGTAGCCCAAATGTGTTAGTCATAATGCAAGAACTGATGCAACAAAAGAAAAACGAAATGTGAATCCTCCTCTGTATAAGGAAATTAAAAGACCAGTTTTTCGCTTCCAAAGCCTACGGGTGCCTACAGAGACAGTATTTTAAGGCATCATAGGCGTTCACAATACGAAGTGCAGTGCAAAAAGGTAGGCGACTTAATTACGCCGCCCACTATTATCCCTCGCTTAGACTAATTCTAAGGCAGCATGTATAAATGTAACCATTTAAATGCACTGTGGCAAACTCTTTTTAAGACATTTCACTTGGCAGCCATCTTTGAAACGCCTCTCGGGTACAGGCAGAGACGATTTATATAGAGACCAAAATACAACTATACAGGGAAAACCCATAACGCCGAAGAAGCCTATTGTATGCACATGCCCCGCCCCTCCTGCTGGAAAACCAATCGTCTGCTTTTAACAGTCAAGTAGGGAAACATGTAAGCCGATCGTCTGGTTCCAATAACGCATGCGCACCGTTGAGGTTTGCGATAGCAGAGACGAGACCGAGACCCTTGCGCATGCATGCGTGGTAAACGTATAACCTGTGGGGGAAAGGGCGTTTTAAACCTTATTTTAGGGCAATCAAACTTCATCATATTTTACTGCTGTTTATATGCAAGCAGTCTTTAAGTCTCGGTGACCAGTGAAAGTGCAGTTCTGACTCTCTACCCATTCATTTAGATAGGAGCCTGGTCTTGTTAGTCCAAAAATAGCTGTCCGGAGGCGTTGCCAAGATGGCGGCCGAGTGGCATGACTTGGCATCTCTATCTCTATCTCTTTGAATGAGGAAACATATAGGCTATCAATGGAGGCAAATAAAGCTCTCAGATATCAAATACAAAGATGAACAAAAGAGTTAGGGGTTTGGAAAGACATGAGGGTGAGAATTAATTTCATTTTTGGGTGAACTAACCCTATATAGGCTATCGTTATGTTAGCTTAGCAACATGCTAACATAAAAATTAATTTAAATCGCCTGAAAAAAGTCTTTCCTGCGAAGTCCTATGTGGAGCACTCCCATTTTGGTCACTACCATGACAGAGGTAGCGAGGCGGCGCACTAGGTTTTGGAACGGAGCTAATGTGTGTGTTAGGGCTGCTGAATCTCAATGTGTTTTCAGAATGTATATCTGTATGTGTGTGAACGCAGGTGTTATGAAAAGAAGCAAGGCCAGTCCAAGCTGTGGTTGGCACCAAACCTAGAATCAAGAATGAAAGCCAGCATTTATGTAGTCACAGGCCCACTGCCATCCCACCCTGTGGAGCCTCAAAACCCTTTTAATTCACCACTGAGCGGCTACTGTTCCCTTAACACCAGGCGTTGGATGTGCGCACAGAAAAGTCAATAAGCAAACACTATTTGTATCCATTTTTCCGCCGTATAGCAGATGTAAGACCACAGCTGAAGGCCGTCACAGTCTAAGTCAAAGCACTGAATGATTTGGGTCACTCACCTGGATGGTGTCGTAGACAAACTCTTTTCCACAGTACTTGCAGGGCTGTGTGCGTTTGGGGCATTCTGTCATGGTGTGCTGGGATAATAGTCTCCTCATCATTCTTGCGCCACACTTGTTCTCGCAGTACACGCTCTCCTGTGGACAGATGCCCTGGTGGTTCTGAAAGAAGAAAGAAACTAGATTTGCATTTTCTGAAGATATTGCCAGAGCTTGCAGAGAAAACCACTGCTGAAGATTTAGGTTAGTTTAGGTTTTGCATAAATGAAATGATCTGCTGACTCTTTTTTGTCAGCTGACACATAAACTCCCATCCTGACACAGTCTTCACAGTGTAGAGGGGGCATATAGATGGTATATCAATGATTCCATGAAGGACCCCATCCGTTGAATATTTCAATTGCACAAAAGGTTGTTTATAGTGGAATTCTTAAAAATTTTAACTTTGATGCCATTGAAGAGCCAATGGTTTGGTTTCCTCAAAAAACTTTATGGGAATTTTTGAATAATCTGAAGAACCCTTTTCCCATATAAAGAACCTTTTATGCAATGGAAATGTTCTATGGATGTTAAAGGTTCTTCATGGAACAATATATGCCACTAAAAATAACCTTAGAAAAAAAATGGTTCTTTTAAGAACTGTTCCATGAAAGGTTCTTTGTGGAACCCAATTTGTTCTTTAATGGCAATCTGTTAAGAGTTTATAATTCATGTCAAAAAGTAGGCTAAGAACTCTGGGAATTATACACTTATTGACTTTTCTAAATGGTTACAGAGAAAAACTGAGCATTATACATCAAACGCCTCACTAACAAACCCTCAAGTCATTTCAAACACAAACTCATGCAGAAACAAGCAACAACTTACTAGGAATGAAATGGCAGATGGTTGAAATTACATTTTTTGTAAATCCTTTGAAAAGATGTATTCATAGTCTGAAGCAAAAAACATCAGAGTCTGTGTCTGTCAAACATTATGCGATTCTCTGTGAAATTGGTCAACTATGACTGCACAAAATCTGCAGAACGGCTTTGAATTTACTCTTTAGGCAACCAGTATCGACTCTCTCAAACCTCAAATCGGGGCAATAGTCATGTGGTGTATTCTAGCCCTAACTAGAATGTTTGTTTAATATCATATCTGCCTTGCAAGCAATTTCATAGCGGAAAGAGACAGACAAATTTCGTCACTGGCTATAAAAGTGGCAAATTCCATATAAAATAGTTATTTAATCATAAACAGTAACAATTTAGTGCAATTTAGCAGCCTACCCACGGCACACAAAAGAAAGATTAACATAAAATCCAATTAAAAATGCTTAAATGACGCTTTTATACATTGTGAGGTTTTTATTACATGTATAAAAATAGGAGTGGCACTATATTAGTGAACAACCCCGGTCCTTGTGCTACTATGATAGCAAGCTGCCAATTTGCTAATTATGAATTCTTAGAATTCACACATTGCAGAATTACACCATGGTGAGAAGCACACAGGCCTCTTTCTTCATGTAGCAATCCATATTATAGAGCACACACTCACAGCATTCAAATAAGGAAGCTAATACCCTAATGCATCCAAAAGGCTAATATTCCAAACAATATTCATGCTGCAGGGATGAAGTTAGCATCGCCCTGGTTCCCTCAAAAAGGATTTTTATTTCCATTGACATTTGGATTGTTGAAGAAAACAAGCTCTGTGACAAACAAAACTTTATGATTTTTACACATTTTGTTCATCAAGATAATCTTCACAAATACAATTTACTGTAAATCCAACTGGCAGAAGTAAATAACTCTTTCAATCTAAACTGAAAATCTACAAGCTGAAAAGTTTGAGTAAGAATAGAGCGGAAGTATAAAAACAGCATGGTTAGTTGCGACAACCTCTGTAGTGCCATTCAGCCATTTGCTAGCATACGTCTTTTTCAAGACAAGTAAAAGCTTAAAGGATTAGTTCACTCTAAAAAAAACTTTTGCTGATAATTTACTCACCCCCATGTCATGCAAGATGTCCATGTCATTCTTTTTTCAGTTGAAAAGAAATTAAGGTTTTTGATTAAAACATTCCAGGATTTTCTCCATATAATGGACTTCATTGGGAACCAAACGGTTCAAGGTTCAAATGAGAGTTTCAGTGCAGCTTCAAAGGGCTTTAAACGAATCCAGACGATGAATAAGGGTCTTATCTGGCGAAACGATCGGTCATTAAAAAATAAAATTTAAACTTAAGCTTTATAAGCACAAATGCTCGCCTTGCTCTGTTCTGTGATGAGCGTTCGTGACTCTCCTGTTCAAACTCGTTCATCAAAATGAAAAAAATGTTTTAAGTTATGACTCGAAGGGTCCTAGAGTCTTATTCATCGTCTGGTGTCGTTTAAAGCACTTTGAAGCTGCACTGAAACTCTCATTTGGACCTTGAACCGTTTGGTTCCCAATAAAGTCCATTATATGGAGAAAATCCTGGAATGTTTCCATCAAAAACCTTAATTTCTTTTCAACTGAAGAAAGAAAGACGTGGACATGTTGGACGACATGGGGGTGAGTAAATTATCAGCTAAAGTTTTTTATAAAAGTGAAATTCAGTGAAACTCCTTTAAATCCAGTGTGAGCTATTACTAATGTATTTTGTCAGGGTATAAAATGTGAAAATATCTCGAGCTTGTGTCAACCACAGATCTTATTTCAGGCATTTAACCCAAAGCACATTTTCAGAACGATGGACCCGGAAGTGCTAAAATGCTTGTTTCCAGGTTTTAGGACTCTATAACAATGTGTCTCGGATGTGGTTGGTCCTCGGTACCTCATAGGCCTCTCCTGTGAACTCGCTCCCGCAGAACTCGCACTTGACCTTGCGTTTGGGGCAGTCGTGCTGCAGGTGTTCGGGCAGGTCTCTGCGCGTCAGCTTGACGGAGCAGCGGTTGGGGCAGGGGATCACGTTGAAGGCGCAGGTCGAGAAGTGGCTCTGGGAAAAAAAAACAGACAAGTATGCTTTGTGATGTACATCAATGATGACATCATTTTTAATTTAGGGTGAAATATCACTTTTACACATTTTAAACAAATCAGTCATTTTAAACAGACAATACTAGCAGATACTAATAGACACAATACAAGCAGATGGTATGTTAGGAGACTAGTATTTTCACAAAGCATCAGACAAAAAAAAAGACTGAACAAAGAGAATGCATCATAAAAAGAGAAAAGCATCAATACCTGTAGCTGTTTCATCTGACCGGTCCAACGGCAGCCCTCTTCACTGTGAATGCAGCGGATGGCCAGTGCCAGTATCTGCTGCTCCAGCTCAGGGTCAGGATAGATCTATAAAACACCATTACACCAAGGGCACATTAATCAACGTGGTTTCCTCTCTTAGAACACACTCATATATTAACCACTCAAGGACAGGACAGAGGTCTGGATTTAAACGTTCACTTATTAACTATATGACACAGTATATGCCTGTGGCGTCTCCCATGCTAAAAGGGATTGTCTGTTGATATAATTTGAGTTATAGTCACGTCATTCATTAGGATAGGTGTGAGTAATTGAGTACACGGAAATGACAGACACGATTGACCATAAAACACAATAAATGTGTAACTTGACTGAATATTTCATAAAATTTCCATTTCACACATCTTGTTAATCACATTATCTTCAGTGGTATCAGTGTCAGGGTTGTGTTGTGTTTAGTTTTTGGTTTGATTTGTTCCCTGTCACTGTTTGCCTGAGTTCTTGTTACTGGTATATTTCCATACACTCTTAGAAGAAATGGTTCTATTTAGAACCAGAAATGGTTCCATCCCCCGCTTTATATATGGAACTCCAAAATGGTTCTATATAGAACCATTTTTTTGGGGTAAAAGGTTCTATTGGCCAAGTATGACACCCCAGGGTTCTATATAGAACCCAGAGGAACCCTTTTTTTAAGAGTGTTTAGAACCTTTTAGGGGTTCCAAATACGTAGCGCCGATAGAACCTTTTCTTCTAAGAGTAGTTTCTGATTGAGTTACACGTTTCTTGTTCCATTATCCCTGTGTGTTTTCAAACCCTCTGTTCTTTCAGTCCATTGTACAGTTTTTACTTTGTTAATGTGTGGAAAGACGCATAAAGGTGGGGTCTAGTTAAAGGTGGGGTAAGCAATATTTGAAAAATACTGTTTGAAAGTTGGTCGGATAGACACAACCAAACACAACAACAAACGTGCAGCCAATCAGCATTAGGGGGCGTATGACGGTGGACGAGAGAGAACGACCAAGAGGGAGATTTGATGAAAGACTGTAGAAAGAGAGATGTAGATTTTGGGATATCAGATGCAAAATTTGATTGAGGTACATACGTTTTGATTTGATTGAGGTACACACGATCTGTGATTTTGACTTAGATTTTCATTTCTATTTTTTTGCCAATTTTCCTGGGTTAACACTTTATTTTAAGGTGACATAGTTACATAACTTATTTGAATTAATAATATTAACTACATATACCTACTATAGAGTTTTGGTTAGTCTTTGGTTTAGGGTTAATTACTTGTAATTATGCATATTTTAGTAAATACATGTAATAATGTGTTACTACGTCACCTTAAAATAAAGTGTAACCTTCTCCTGTAAGTCACAATATTGTTACTTGGGATGAAAACTGATCAATTTAACTAGATAAATTCAATTCGCAGCCAGTTTTTGTAATTTTGTAAAGTTGAATCCATACTGACACTGTGGAGGAAATTCACTAATAATGAATTGTTCCTGTTGTTTTAGCGGTTTATTTAGTAAATTATTCAAACTAGGTAACAAAATTGAACAAATATACTCACAAAATCTGTGATGAATGAAAAGCAAGATTGCAAACCACATACCTGAATTGGCTCAACAACGTCTAAATTGAAGATATACGTCTAGTTGTAAAGCTCTTTCCATAAGTATATTATAATTTGATGAATTACTGCTGCCATAATATATATAAACTGCCTTAATATATGCTTAAATTGCACTTTTGCAGTCATTCATACATAGTCAGTTGGACATTGATGCTTTTATATTGTTATTTTACATAAACAACAATGACGCACCATGAAAAAAAATAGCAAAGCGTAAAATGGATTTTGATAGACAGGGAAAAGAATAATGTTTTGTCAAAAACACAAATGCACTGCTGCACGATCAAATTCAATTTCACGGAGACGGATGGCCTCAGCTAGAGCCCCGTGAAACGAGTGTGTACACGTGCGTCTCTGTGTGTACGTCAAAATCAGTGCCTATTGCATCTTCCCTTCAGCCATAAAGTCGATGAAGGATGAGACGGTACTCCATCCAATCATCCCAAATCCGCTGCAGGCAGGATTTACATACAGACACACACACACACACACACACACACACACAGATCTGCTGTGTAAAGACAGCACTGAAGACGTGGCTGTTCGCCACCCATGTCATCCCATACTGAGCCACCACCCCCCAACCACACACACACATTAATTTTCATTGACATATTTTCTGGCATACTAAGATAAACAACTGTGCCATGCTGTCATACACACAACAACTGATAATTGTTGGAAGATTTGTAGATAAACAATAAATAAATACATATAAGAAGGCAAATCTTCAGTATAAAAAATGCGTAATTGCGCTGCCACTAATTTGCATAAATTGGATAACTTCAGCGCACTTTGTCTCTGTAAACCATTATCAATAATGGGGTTCCAAATTTAACGCATCTTTGCTGAATAAAAGTATTAAATTCTTTCAAAATTACATCGCAGCACTGACCCCAAACTTTTCAACGGTAGTACTTAAACGAGACATGATACTTGTGGTGAACCCAACCTCAAACAGGCAAAGACAGGCACTGAACAACAGCCCTGCAGAGGTGGATGGGTAATCTGTGGGCGACTGGACGGCTGTCGGGTCTTTAGAAATTACTGCTTGTGCTATACTTGTGTGTGTTTAGGCCTCATGAGCATCAGACACCCCTCCTGCAACACTCCAGGCTTTCCAGGATGAGTAGAGTTATCCCCCTGACTTCATGCAAATCACAGTTTCAACGGATTAGTGCGCTAAAGCTCTTTCCAACACAGAACAGGTTTAACTTCGTGCATGTGCCCTTCCAGAAGCGTGTCAAACGCACTGTATGAGAAGATGACTCAGACGTTAGAAGAGTAATAGGGCTGAAGGTTGGAGATGAAGTTATGCCACAAAAAAAAAAAAACCCACAGAGACTGATTTAACGCAGTTTTTGACATCAGCAACAATATATTTGTGAAACGATTGTATGTGCCATTGTGTATTTTATCAATAGCTTTAAAATCGCTGTTGTTAACTTCAAGCTACAGTATGTTGATCATCTGCAGAGAACTCGGAGGTTTTGTAATCTCACTTTCTGGGGCACCACATGAGTAAAAAGACTGAGCTCAACGGGATAAATTAACTAAAGGGTAAAATGAAAAATTAGCCAAAACTTTGATTAAAGATTTGGGTAAGTTCCTTCTATAATGTGGCATGGTGTAAATTAGCTAAACCACAGAAGAAAATTGCCTAACTGAAATATTTTGCGAGATGCTTACAGCGGAGGCTACTGTATAAATAACGCTTTCTTGAAGAGATACATTTAAAAATGATTTATGGGTTAAACATAACATCCTAACATGTGTTATAGTGTTACAGTTTATGATCATGCTATCTTTTTTATTTTTAAATCTTTACTTTTTTCCATTCAAGTTCTTGAGAGAAAACATTTTATGGACTTTATATTTTTTTTAGTTTCTTTTTGAATTGATGCACATTTTAGGTCCAATTAAACATGCTAAATGATTCTAAATCATGTGTGAAAACAACGGTGTGAGTTGAGACTTCTTATTTGCATATTTTTATTATTTAGAAATATATATATTGCAATTCCATGCAGAAAAAACACACTGCAGCATTAAAGCAGCATAAAATATATTCTGTTTTATTCCAAGCAAATCTACAGTATGCGTCATCTCCATTTCTTTCTTCATTCCTTCCTTTCCACATTCCTAGGGAAGCGAGTGGCCCGTGGTAGTTCATTAGTGTGATTACTCGGGTGGTTTGAGAAGCGTGGACGAAGGGTTAGCGCCTGGGGCAGTCACTGACTCAAAAACATAGCCTGCTATTGTTGACACATTAGCATTTCGTACACTCTTGCAGAGCCACTCACGGAAAGTTGTCCAGAAAGAGGCCCACTGTAATAGTGCAGAGACGTAAATGACTGTGGGAGATTGAACTGTAATCTGTTCTGCAGCAGAATGCATGAGAGATTAGAGCTGAGTGCATTACTACCTTGGCGTAATCCAGTGGGAGCTGGTCCTCCGGGCACTTGAAGACCCCCTCACTGCAAACACAAGAAAAGAAGGATTTATTTTCAACTTCACTGAACAAATCAGATACAAATAATTGATTCTGTGGTTGTAATAAACAGTAGATTCAGTGTGAAAAGATCATGTGAATTGTGAGGGAAACTAGATTTGACATATTTTCCTTGAATACATATGTGTACGCATCTTTGACATAATTTTTTTCACCACAAAGTTTAAAAAAAAAATGTTTTTTTCTTCTTTTTTTAAAAACAAATGTCATGATTCATTAATTCAAGTTTAATTCACCTTGTCTGGTCATAAAAAAATGTCAAATTATCTGATATTCTGATATTTTTAGAGAGTTATTGACCTTGACACAGTCAGGACTGTCTGCACGGGTCCATCTGTGATGTCATTTTTGTCTCTGTGAGACATAATAATAAAAGATGGTCAAATGTCATTTAAAAAAAAATTATGAGCAAAAAAAACATGCTCATCACAGAAAATGTACATTTAAAGTTCATTTGAAATCAAAATGGAAGTTTTTTTTGGCTCTTAGTATGAATATATGTTAGCCTTAAGGTCATCTATAAACTAGAGTGCTCCAAAACTATGACAAAATTCACATTTAGAAGATATGACCATTCAAAACTCTTACGTCTGCCAATATGGAACAATGATTTTGATGACATCATTATACATTTCAGATTTTCTGTCCAATCAAATGCTCTCCTCCGTTCCGCCCCTTCACTATAAATAGATGCTGAAGCTGCGGCTGAAATCGGTCGATTTTTAACACAATTACTAAATCCTATGGTGAATGGCACATGTCAAGTCACCTTTATTTATATAACGGTTTACACAATACAGATTGTTTCATAGCAGCTTTACAATGATAACAGGAAAACGATGTATTTCGGCTATTGTTCAGCTTTACCATTGTAAAGATCATCAGTCGACCAAGCTGTGACGTTAACAAAAAGCTATTGGCTATTTTAAAAAAGGGGGGAGGGGCTGCTTGATAAGTCCTGCAATGTCTTCCTGTTACAGGTGAAATTACATCAACACATTGAATAACACTGCGTTTCAAGGCACTTCAGTGCGACTTTAAGATATTGTAAGCATGCATTGGGTTTTAAAGTATATTTAAATAAATTAATAGATGGAACAAAAAAAAGACCGGTATTCATGTCTGTAGTACAAACGGTGCAAGAAAATCATTTATTAAAGATTTTTACACTGAAGTCTAATACTTAGGATTAGGGGTTTGTTCAAATCCCTTACTTTAAGTATGCACACCCGTAATAGTGAGTCATGCCTTGGCAAGCACCACTAAACATTGCCTTTCTGTCTGACTGGAGGAGTGCCCTAATCTGGGCTCTTCGCCACCCCCCATCCTTTTTACTCGGATGAAGGTTAATTATGTACCCAAGTTGTGAACCGCTTACAACAACGCCAAAAGGAGCCAGAGAGAAAGACGCTGTGGTGGGACATAAAGAAGAAAAAGGGAAGACATGAGATTTAGCCCGGCTGTGAGGCGACCAGCTGAGAGGGGCGTCGTGCCTCATTAGCGGGGCCCCTCTGGCAGCATTGGACGTCCAGAACACTGATGTCACCATGAAATATTCACATGGTAAATAATGGAAGTGACTGCAGATAGCAGTGACGGCGCAGGGGGAGGTGTGTGTGTCATTGTGTCCTACTGTACAGCACTGCTATTTACATAGAAAGAATCCAAAAGGACCATCTGTGGAAGCGGTCCCGAGAGATGTGTTAATACGGCCCCTCAACTGCCAGTTACAGTCAACAGACAGTATATAGGGGCCATTAAACTGTGCCACAAACATGCTTTATTTTAGTAGGCTATTATTTATACACTACCATTACAGTTTTTAATAATATTTTGAATTTTAGCTTTTATTAAAATATTTTCAGTCATTTTAATTTTAGTTTAAAAGGTAGGGTGAGTAATTTCGCAGAGGCTAGCAATAGCAAGTGAGACAGCTACAAAAGCAACAACATGGTTGATGATTCGTCACATGACGTGGACTGTCCCGGGCTGATTGGGGACAGATGGAAAGCATTTAAAGCCTCAGGTGACGACAGAAACATCCATTAAGGTCAGTGTGTCAGTAGGGCAGCAATTAATACAACAGGCTTTAACAAAACAAAGTCAATCAATTACCCACCAGAGGCAGACCTACTAATGCAAATGCATGTTGGACTATATTACTAGGCCATCAATGCGGCTCCAATGGGACTGTTATGCTTTTCAGATATACAGCCGAGTACTGCCCCTTGACTGATAAACAAAATTGAGGCAGAGAGAGAGGTGGGGAAGGTAAACTGGATGCTCTTATTTTTTAGCATGTGAATAAATGACTTGTCAGACCGATTGTTTCCAGAGAGGAAGAGGATCCCAGCAGCTACATCTGCTGAACACGTCTAATTCGGTTTGACTGTGAGGTACTGACTCATTTGTTAAGGCTCGTCATTCTGCTTCAGTGCTTTATTAGTGTTAGCGTAAGGAGGACAACATCAGCAAATGCGTTTCATCTTCAATGCTAAAGCAAGAATGAAAGAAACACTTCACAATCTTTGATGCTTGGCCCCTTCTCGCTTTGAAAGTCCTCTCACATGGATTCTCTGAACTTTACAAAGAGTGCTGATTTGACAGATTTGACTTAAAGGGATAGTTCACTTTAAAAAAAAAACTTTTGCTGATAATTTACTCGCCCCCATGTCATCCAAGATGTCCACTTCTTTCTTTCTTCAGTTGAAAATAAATTAAGGATTCCAGGATTTTCTCCATATAATGGACTTCAATGGGAACCAAGCGGTTCAAGGTTCAAATGAGAGTTTCGTTGCAGCTTCAAAGGGCTTTAAACAACACCAGAGGATGAATAAGGGTCTTATCTAGCGAAACGATCAGTCATTTAATAAATAAATAAAAAAGTTTAAGTTTTATAAGCACAAATGCTCGCCTGTGATGAGCGTTCGTGACTCTCTTGTTCAAACTCGTTCATGACTCGAAGGGTCCTAGATAAGATCCTTATTCATCGTCTGGTGTCGTTTAAAGCCCTTTGAAGCTGCACTGAAACTCTCATTTGGACCTTGAACCGTTTGGTCCCCAATGAAGTCCATTATATGGAGAAAATCCTGGAATGCTTTCACCAAAAACCTTAATTTCTTTTCGACTGAGGAAAGAAAGACGTGGACATCTTGGATGACATGGGGGTGAGTAAATTATCAGCAGTTTTTTTTTTTTTTTAAAGTGAACTACTCCTTTAACATGGGAATGCCATCACTTAGTCACCCACTTAGTTTTGCGCCAGACCAAACAAAAAAATTGTATTCACGCTTGCGCATAATACAAACTTGCCACATCAAGATACAAAGGATCAGTGTTCAATGTTCCACATACAAAAAAAAAAAGTCAGTTAAAACTGTACATTTAGGACTGTCAAAGTTTATGTTTACTTGAACAACTAAATATGTTATGTTAAACAAAATATTGTAACATATTTATCAAATTGCTTTCTAAATACAGCCCTAGAAACTAATATTTTTATTCAGCAAGGATTCATTAATATTTTAAGCAGCACATCCGTTTTCAACATTGATAATAATAAGAAATGTTTTTTGTGCCCCAAATCAGCCTATTTTAATAATTTCTGAAGGATCATGTGACAATGTCAAATAGAAAGCAGTTATTTTGAATTGCAATACTATTTCACAATATTACTGATTTTACTGTATTTTTGCAGCCTTAGTGAGTAGAAGAGACCTCTTTCAAAAACACTTACAAACTTTTGAACGTTAATGTAATATAATGTAATGTTAATGTAATATGGCAGACACAATATGCTTTTAAGTTACTTGACTGCACCAATCGCACATGAGCAATGGGCCAAATAAGTAAAAGCTCAGTTTCCTCCAGCACGCAGGCCGGCCTGACAGATGTTCTGCTAGAAAGACGACCAATCGAGACGAAGGCCCATGTGCTGTAACAGCAGGGCAGACGAGAGTGCCTGCAGGCTAATATATATTCATGTCTGACCCCCTTCACTAAACACAAAGCTACCGCACTCTGATCTCTCCTCGAACGTCATCTTCTACATCCCATCGGCACATTAGGGTCAGAGCTGTTCACTTCTCATCAATGATTCTTGATTGCCTCCCAAGATCCTTAAAATATCTGCCGTGACCCACAGGTCAGATTAGTAAGCCGTCCGTTAGCAAAGTGATATTGATGAGGACAGGCGTCACAACACTGCACTCACACCTTCTGCACAGCCTTTGACAGGCAGACCACCGGGAAGTGGCCAATCGCTGTAGAGAAAGCTCAACAAAGGGAACCTTAGAAAGGCTAAGAGCGAATCTGATTGCCTTCTTTATGATGAAACATCTCTCTTCTTTCTGTCACAGAATTGTATGGAGGTCTACAGTCATCGATTCAACAGACATGAATAGTAAGTGCACTTGAATACGGTTGAAGACAGCTAAATGAATCTCTGCCCTTGAAATGTGCACGTTATGTTCATTTGGATAAAGGAAACCAGAATTGTGATATTTCAAATCTTACAAAAGATCTTTGTGTTGTTCACTTCTAACTTTCCTATGAATTCCATTTCCATTTCAGTTGAAAAATAAAATAAAAAATGATTGACTTTATTTCTTATAGTTTCATCAATATATCGTACAATCTTTATTCTTATATCTTACAATGTCAAACTTTATATCTCACACTTTTTCTCTTAACACTGTTTGTCTCTTTTATATTTATTACTTATAGTTTTCTTTATTTCTGACATTTGTGACTTTGGTAATTGCAAATTTTATTTTCACGTTCTCATAATCATTCTCGTAATTCTCACTTTATACATCACAACTGGGACTTTCTTTCTTGTAATTGCAGCTGTATATCTTACAATGTGGCTTATAATCGCACAACTACAACTTTTTTAGATTTGCGACTATTTCTCGTAATTGCGAATATATTTCAGATTTTTACATTTTTGCAACTAAATTTCTC